TACCCCCTCCGGCTTATTGGAAATACAGTAAGTAAATAGGGAATATAAAAAAAAAAAATTAAAAAAATATGTTTAATAAAGATGTACAGTATAGGAATCTACTATATGAGACAGACCTATACTCATAGGTTAACCTTTCCTGAAGAATATGCTCCCCCTGTGTGCTACTGTGGTATTCTAGGCATTTCGTCATGTTGTCTATAAATGGTAAATTCAAATTGGCCAGTCATATAAATGTTCTGACTCTGATTGGCAAGCTTTTATTGAATAAAACTAAAGAACTTCTAATTCTGTTTAAAACTACTTTATAGTAACAAAATTAATTTCTGTAGCCGATAAAAAGTAAATGTTTACTTTCCAATGCATAAGACCAGTATGAAATTAATGGCAATAACATTTCTAAATAAAAAAAAGTTTACCAGGTGAGCAAATCAGCGTCAGATGTTCACTTTTGAACATCCACGGCTACCTAGCGGGAATAGAAATGCAGATTTTTGTTTTGTTACTGAAAGGGATAAATGGGTTACGTTCTGCTTTTCAGGTTTGCAGATTTTTATTAGACATGTCTGTAGGTTCATATGGAATTTTCACTGTCTTTTCCAAGTTGACCCCAGGTTCACATCTTTTCTAAGTAACTATGTGGAGGGGTTTGACTTTTCATAATGCAAAACCCCTTTTATTGTGTAGCTGTCAGCACCTACCACCTGCACACAGTAGAGCATACCTCCCAACTTTCTGGAGATCCCTCTACAAAGTATTTAGGCAATGGAGCCACCCCTTGTGCCACCAGTTATGCGGACCATTTTAATTCGGGATGCACCAATACCAGTTTTTCGAGATTGAGTACCAATACTTTTTTTCGGTACTCGCCAATACGGATATTGGAAGTCCCATTAAGGAAGCCGGGCGGTGTGTATTGACTCGCCACCCAGCTTCCAGATTGGCCAGCTTCCCAAACAATCAGGAAGCCAGGTGGCAAGTAATTACACACCACTTGGTGACGAGTGAGCATTGTGCCCGCTTCCCGACCAATCAGGAAGCCGGACAGCGTGTAATTGACTCGCCACCCGGCTTTCTGACTGGTTGTAAAGCTGGCCAATCAGGAAGCCTGGCAGTAAGTCATTACCCGCCCCCCGGCTTTCCTGATTGCCCAGAAAGTCGGCTCCATACTTTCTCTTCACTTGGTAGTGAAGGAGCATGGAGCCGGCTTCTCGGCCAATCAGGAAGCCGGGCAGTGTGTAATGAGTCGCCGCCCGGCTTCCTGATACTGGCATTTTCATATAGCAAACAAAATAGTTGAGATGGGATGAAGGTTTTCTTGCAGAGTAACACCTTTGGTAGTTAAATAGTACATTTTCATAGATATCTGTATATCAGACGAAAAAGAGGGCCAACTGAGGAAGAAAGCGAGACAGCAGGACTTGGTTCCAAATGAATGTCCAAGTCCCATCACACTCTTGACCGATGAGCCCCTTTTGGAATAGGTGGGTGCTGCAGTAATAAACGGATGGCGTCGCTCAATATCAGCAAAGAAGGGGTCACTGGCACTCCAGTATGCTGATCAATATGCCTATATTCACACATGATCAGTATCACATAACACAACATTTCCGGGCCACACAGGGTCCCCTTCGTCAGGCAAAATTATGGTTTTGCCTAATGAAGGGGATCCTCCGTGGCCCTGAAACGTTGTGTTATGTGATACTGAGCATGCGTCAGTAAAGGTGTATTGATCAGCATACTGGAGTGCCAGTGACCCCTTCATTTTTGGTTCCAAAAGAATGACAATCCCTCCAAATAAGGTTGTTGGGAGCTATGAATAGAGTAAGACCTCTTTGTAATTTCATATAAGATTATTAACACATCAGTATACGAGAAAGTTGTCTATAGAAATATAGAAGCCATAGTATATAGAATACGTATTTTCTAGTATCCTGGAAAAGATCTTCTTGCTTTTGCAGTTAGGGTGGTAAATAGTGTCTGATTATCTAAGAGACTCTAATTATAGGATTACTTTTATGCTCTCCATTTATTTTTTTTGTATTGAAATGCCAAACCAACTGGTCGAAGGTAAAGAAAAACAGCATCAAAGTTGACATGTCATGTGTTGACATTTTTTCCTGTTGTGTTGTTTTGTTTCCATAGAACTGTTTCCTCTATGATCCATGTGTTTTTGCAGTATCAAAATACATGTTCAGAGGCTGGTATTTGCTGGACTTGAATTGCTTAAAATATTCAGATGAAAGAACTACTTAAAATAAGTCATTGTTATTTAGAAACTGCAGCAGATGAGACAGCTAGTTTATCTCCAAAAACAAGAAACAAGAGCGCCCCAGGGAAAGAGAAGGAACTATTTGTGTTCTTGTTTTCTAAAGAAGGGCTGGCACGTAGAATTATAAATGATCTAATACATAAAGTCTCCTGATTATAACTCTGTGTTAATGAACAAGTGATTGAATATCCACAGACCAAAGGTTCCTACGTGGCAATATCTTTGCAGCCAAGAGAAAAATAAATCAGTATAAATTGTTCATGCTCCCTATGCAGCTGGTTAAATCCAATACATTTATTATAACAGTTTATACAGTACAGAAAGGATTGAAATTGGCCTTATTAGATGGAAAGGACGCGGCAAGCACACCTGCTGCTACCCCAAGTAACCCAATAAGATTAAAGGAGAACTATGGGGTCAGTGTTTTTCCCCATAGTTCTCCTTAGGATAACGGGACGACACAAACTAGCGTCCTCCCGTTACCCTAACCTCAGTATACCGCGAGCTACAGCTCGCGTTATACTGAGACGCCTGAGCGGATCCCGACATGGATCCACCCAGCTGCGTGAGTGACAGCTGGCTCTGCCTATCTAGAGGCAGAGCCAGCTGTACCCGCCCCCTCCCCCGTCCGTTGCGCCAGTCAGCGCTGGCAGATCGGAGCGGGGAGAGGGGAATCCAGCCCCTCCCCCTGTCAGGGCAGAGAGCCGTGACAGGATCGAGAGGTGAGCGAACCCGGTATGTGTTCGCTCACCTCCCGATCTACTGAGCCGACCTGTGACAGTCTCATTGTCACAGGTCAGCTAGAACTATGAGGTGAGTGGAAATCACTCATCTCATAGTTCTCCTTTTAACTGTGACTCTCTGGCTGGAAAGGGGGCGGCAGGCACACCTGCCACTCCACCAAGTAACCCAAATAAGATTACCTGGGACTCTCTGGCTGGAAAGGGGGAGGCAGGCACACCTGCTGCTCCTCCAAATAACCCAATAAGATGTCACCAGAGGCAACCACCAAACAGCCCTATACATAACATTTGTATTTATGTTCAGCCAGTCTTGTGATCCAAACAGCATAATCAGGTTGCCACTTAATTTTCCCTTCTGCAGTTGAGCAGGACAACCTGGTCATCAACTTGTAATCCTATTCTAGTAACAACTCACCTTTTAATTTTATTGCACTGACAGTAGTCACCAGGGCAAATATAGAGGAAATCTCCACAGTGGTGACACAGACAGACAGTTTGAAACTCCCCATCACTCTATCCAAAACTAAAATTGGGATCTAGTTTAAGTGCACCTTTGTGAAAACAATAGCTTTGATTAGTTCACTGCTGGCTAAAATCATCATTTTACATACAGCACATGACTTCAGTGAGTGTTCAGGAACAAGGCCAAATCATGACAAGGGGAGAAGGAGAAAAGAGGCGGCAGTGTTTTCGGTCCTATATAAAGGAAGGATCTCTGATATGCATACTACTTGTTCATCCTGAAAGCTGGAGTTAGTCTAAAGCTGGCCATACCCTTTTGGAATTTTTTTCAAAATCTTGGAAATCAGTCAAACTTTTAATCATAGTTAGCCCAACGAACCAGTCAGATCAACAAACTTCTATTGAAAAATCAAAGAAGCCAGGTGGAGAACTGTCGGCCAAACAGTAACTGTATCCAATTATCTGCAGTTACTGTTCAGGTATTCTGACGGCCATAGACGCCAATAGGGGAGATCGCTCCATCCACAGTGTTTAGTGTGAATGGGGTAATCGAGCCATTTTCTCTCATTTTTCAGCCCATGAAAAAACTATACATGTATGGTCAGCTTTAGGAGCTTGTACATGGAAGGTAGGGATGTCCAGATACCAGTGTCGATACTTTGGCATTTTCACAAGAACTACCAGGGCTGCAGGGTTGCAGCTGGGACCTGGCTCTGGCACTCCACCACTGTCCTGAAATCATTAGTCTGTATTGTTTTAAAAAAAACGGTCTCATGACACTAAAGAAAAATGTATCAGTAATTGTATCTGTGAGTACTTGGGCAAGTATCAGTACTTGTAATTGAAAAAAAGGTATTGGTGCATCCCTGATATATATTTATAAAAAACCCATAATACATTAAAACAGAGATGTACAAATCCCAGGAGCTCTGTGTGCTCCCTACAAATGACAGCTGCCTCCTGACTTTTCTCTAGTCTAGTCTCGGAGCTGGAAAAGTATCTGTAATTGTACTTGTACTGAGTACGGTACTCGGTACCTGAACATCCCTAATAGAAGGTATGCCACAAAAGCTTTATTTGAGTGAGGAACTCTCAATGAGAGCCATACAGATTACTTTACCAGAACGGGTATACATTTGAACTCTGCTCAGGAGACAAAGGAGAAAGTTATAAGGGTTTAGTTGCTTAAATCTGTGTGCTGCTGATTACTGCACTTTACACATCATGATTGCATTGCCACATTGAAAAAGCCTTCAAGTGTATACATTTTAGAGTCTGCTCTTTGTCTGTCTGATTTTATGATTTCTAAATGTATTACTTAATTGTTGGTAATAAAAGGATGATGTACTGCCACATTTCAGTAATACTGAAGCAGCTACAAATTAAAAGTGCTAATAAAATGTGGAAAGACCGCTTAGTCAAGCACTTTCTGGAGCCAGACATCATCTTATGTTGTCTTGTTAAGTGAGCAGTGGAATGTACATTTTGTAATATGTACTCACCTGAGTGTTCCCCTCTTACAGCCCTGAGAAATAGGAACTATCACTATGTGATCAACGGTAACTGGGCCATTAGTTATCCTGGCGTCTTCAATGTGGCAGGAACCAAGATCCAGTACAAACGCTCTGCTGACAATCAGGAGACCTTTGAGGCAACAGGACCAACAGAAGAGAATCTGCATGTCATGGTTTGTGTACAGTGTCTTTTTAAGCACTGCATATGCATAGTTTGTAGAAAGGGTGTCAACCCCATGTAAACTATGTGGTGGATATGTGTTAATGTTGTAAAGCCATTATTTCTATGTAAGATTTCTTAATTTATGTGTGTGTGTGTGAGACCATTATGCATGCCCCCCACATTTTTGCATCTTCAGCTTGTGGTTTGAGTGCACCCAGGCTCTAAACTTGGTTATATATTGGTGGGCCACCATATCTGCTCACGTATACTCTCTGGGTGGTACTTCCTGTAATAATATATAAGCAGTTGCTAATAGTTCAGCAGGAATGTTGACCCCAGAACTGTAGCTAGCTTCTTTTGCACCCGAGGCAAGAACAGAAAATTGTACCCCACCCCCATGTTTTTTGAGGTGGTCAGTGCTCAGTGCGGGCTCTCTGTGCTCAGTGCGGATTCTGCGACCCTGGTAGTTCTGCCACTGGCATGAGTATCAACCACTGCGGGAGGGAGCTGTGGAGTGTTGGCCTGCTGCATGCTGGGATCTGCAGTCTCAGGAGGCAATGCCAGTGCCTTGTTTGTTAATGTCAGTGCCCTCCAAGTGGCGGAATTAATAGAGTAGCAGCTGTGACCGGGCCCTAGAGTTCCGCCACTTGGATTGGCCTGAACAGGAGCAAGAGGGCCCCATTAACCACTGAGGCACTGACATTGCCTCCTGGGACTACAGCTCCCAGAAGGCTGATGCTCCACAGCTGCTTCCCACAGTGGTTGATATGGAGCGTAGTATAAAGCCTGTGACACACTGCATGCAAAGCCATGCAGAGCGAAGCAAAGCTGTCAGGAGTTTTATTATTCTTTGGCCCGTATCGCCTTGCCCTTCCTACGGCCCTGGTTGACCCACTGCCTAACATGCAGATGGCCACTAGGAGAATCCATAGAACTGCATTTAAAATTGTGATAAAAATAAGTGACAGCGGGCATGCCAAAATGGGAAAAATCACACAAGGGACATGACTGAAGCTTAGGACCTTCCCATAAAAGGAAAAATCACTGAAGTAGTAGTCTTAAGTCAACAGGACAGAAGGATGTTTCAAATTTATCTTTAAACTCTTCCAAAATCTTTTTCACATGCTTCAATATTTTCTTATTTAAAAAAAGATTCATGGGTTGGACACAGTTCAACTTTACTAGCTTGTTAGTAATCAAGTGAAATTTTTGGACTATGGAGATCAGCATAACAACTTTACTCTACTGAGCTCAAAGTACTGCCGCATGTAGGGCTTGATGTCATCACACTTACTAAGTATAGCATTGCTTTAATTGGCATCTTGTAAAACTAGAGACTGAATAAGCAGAAAAACAGATCAGGTTTATATTTGCTGATCTGCAGAATATGTTTTCAATTTAAAGTTTTTCTACAACAGTTTTTACAATAGGAACATACCATTCATATCCTCGCAGGACCAAAAATGGATAGAAAATGTTCTTGAGCGTTTATTAAATGAGAAATATCGGTGTGCTATTATTTCTGAATGAAGATATCACATCTTTATGTGTTTTAGATTTTTTTTAAATTGAATAACACTAGTTACAGTATAGAAACCAACTTTTCCCCCCGTCTTGTCCCCTTTGCTGCCAAGAACATAACGTCTGCCCTAGCAAACTGTATATTTGCTAGGAGTGCAGGAAGAACAAGGGTCCTGGGCTGTGTGGCTGCATAACGATTTACCTAGGCAGCAATAGCATTGGGAAATACTTTGCAATAAATGTAAATTTACAGAATATATAGTCCAAGTACCTCCATCAGATTGCTATGAAACTAGTTCTAAACCGCGATTTTAAAAATCAGCATTGTGCAAAGTGCAGAGAGCATAGGGATCCCAGCTTGCCACACAAGATTTTTGTCTGCTGTCTGGTATGCAAGTAAAGTGTGCACATAGAAAGATGCTACAGTAGAGAATTGATGACTGTCCCACATTTGTCTTATCTATCCATGGGTCGAAAGTATACAGTCTACTAATAATAGAACGGTATTATATATTCACCCAAACTGCATATTAGAAGCCTTTATGTGTACATATTATTTATGCCTTGTGCCTTATGTTGTAGGTCCTCTTTACAGAGCACAATTCAGGTATAGAGTATGAGTACTGGCTTCCTAAGGATTATTATATTCACCACCAGAGAGATCGCAGCTCTTTGCAAGAGACCGTAGAGACTGTTATTTCGCCAACTCTGCCTGTTACAATGACACCAGCTCCAACAACAAGACACAACAGTGAGTAGAAGGACAAAAATTGAATTGATCTGAAACTGAACTAATTATTTGAGCATTTATATGTCTACTACAAAATTAAAACTAAGAAGTATGCCAGTAACTGAAAAAAAGTTTATCTTATATAATTAAAAATAGGTCTGCATGGTCTCTGCTATTTTGTTTATGAAGAACATGACAGTTGTGGTCTTGTACAGATACACATTCATTTCTGTGCTATCTGTAGAAGAATGTAAGTGTAAGCATTCTTTGTGTCTGCAGTGCCAATGACATTGTAATTTAGAATGTGAAAGAGATGAATCATCCTCCCTGGGTATCAAATATTTAATTAAGCTGTGATTGGCTGTAATTAGCCATGTTAACTTGTGTATAGAAACCCTAACAATGAACTTTTCTTATTTTTTCTCTTTTGGTCTATTAAATATACAATTGGAAGTATTATGTTACATCTGTTTTATATGTGCAAATAAAACCTGCTGATCTTGTCGGAAATTCAGAGCTGTTCTGTAAACCGGCGTGTCTCAACCTTTGAGTCACGGCACCCTATGAAAGTATGCAAAATCTCGAGGAACACCATTCTAAAATATAAAAATAGCCTGGTTTCCCCCCAAAATCTATGCCAACCCCTTATCCTAGATAGGGGCCTGGTATGAATTTTAAGGGGGGAAGCCCCCCCCCAAAAAAAATTCACATTAGAAGCTGAGCCCGCTTCACATCAGGAGCCCCCCTTCACATGAGAGTCCTCAGTTCCTTCTTTGCATGAGAGTCCTTGTCGGGCCCCGGTCCGGGCATGTCGGGTTCCGGTCCGGGTGGCTCGTCAGCCATGTCAGGTGCAGTCCCGCGGGACGAGCCATGTCCCAATCCAGGCCACTGTGCAGAGACGTGCACGAAGGGGGCGTTCCGTCGGCGCTGCTTGGCCGCGCAACCGCAGATGCCCTGTGACCTGTGACCCGGCGGCATCCGCCCCACACGGCGTGACGTCATGACGCTGCACGTGCGGGTGACGTCATCACGTCAGCGCACGCGCAGTACAACGTCTCAGCCTATTTAAGGCCCCACAGGACTGGGATTCATTGCTGAGTGATTGCTAGCCAGCACCAGTCATCTGTGATCCGCTCCTGCATTGTTTCCTGACTACCTGATTACCTGGCTTCCTTCTTGACATTCCCTTTGGATTATCCTTCTGTACTTCGCTGTCTGCCTAATACTGACCCGGCTTGTCCCTCGACTATTCTTTGGATCCTCTCTTGTACTTCACTGTCCGCCTAATACCGACCCGGCTTGTCTTCCAACTTCCTCTGCACGGCTGCCTACTCTGCTCAACTACCACCACTGCAGATCCCTGGAAATCCTGATCCGGCACCTGTGCACCCCCTGCCTGAGCCCATTGTCTTCACCCCAGTGGTCATCAGACGGTTTTGCAAGAGAGGTCCTCCTCATCACATCGGGCCCACACGGGACCTAACAGCCCTACCTTATAATCTTCACCACATTTTGGCTGTAGCAGCATGACAGTGGACAGGAGGTGGAACAATCCTGGATGGAGGTGGCCTTATGTGCTCTTCTGAATGCTGGGAGAGGTTCTGGATGCAGCCCACTCTGTATTAGTGTCATACGTTCCCATGGTGCTGGTGGCCAGCTCGCCTATACTCTGGAAATGCATGCTGTGGAAGATTTGAAGGCACATCTGACAAAGCCAGAAGGCACCCCCAGGGAATGATTGCTGTAGACTCTGCTTGTGTTATCTCCAAATCTATTTAGCCCTCGCAGGTCTCATCTTAGTACTACATGTCAGTTAGTGCCTATGCTTTAAAGATGAAGACAGTAGGAATAGTTTAGCAAAAGACAACTGGGTAGGGCTGACACCACGCAGTCCACAAAATTGCTGTATGCTGTCAGCCCAGAATAGGAAATTTAAGAGCGGAGTGCATTTCTGTCAGATCAACATTTTCACGTATTTACTGTACCTGCCGGGTCTTTAACTCTTTCGCTGCCTGCAATGTAAGGCTTGCATCAGCAGCAGCAGTGACCTGTAAACAGACTTCTGGTTCCAAACAAAAAATCTTATCCAGAAGCGCCAGAGTCAATCATTCCTCATCCCTCACAAGGAAGAAGTACTAGACATATGTGCAGGGCGCAGCCCCAATACAATCAGGGAGACTGGGACATCTGGAAGAAAACCCAAAGAGAGGGGCGCCTTCCCTGGTGCAGATAGGTTTATTCAACAAATGTAAAAAACAAACTAGCAGGTACTCACAAGAGTAGAATAACAACAGGCTGTAGGACAATAAGAAAACCGGAGCAATGGAGGGATCCGTGTGATACGTCCTTATCCCACAGATATTCAGACGCTCTCCAGTCTGTGTCCATCCAGTGCAGCCTGGATCTCGCTCTGAGCTCTCCCCTGAGATACCTTTTTAGTGTATTTTTTTAAGGGAAAGTATTAGTTTGATAAACTGTTGGTAATATATTTTGAGGGTTTTTTTGAAATCTAAACCCAAAATCAAAGATGTAATATTTTGCTGATTACCAACCCTTAGATGTGGTGGCTGCATTAGTTTTCTTTTTTAGGCTTTCTTTTATTTATTTTCACCTGGGGATCCAGCCAGTAAGTCTGTTATTTTTCAACTTCCTTTAGCAGAGCAAGCTGTCCAGCAAAAGTGGCAGATAGAGGGCCGAGACAAACCATAGAACATGGATACGGGTTCCAACAATGGACAGCTTTTATTCATAAATGTAAAACCTTTATCCAAAAAGCTATTGTGTTAGATGAAGTTTGGTTTTAATTTGTTAGTCAAGTCCATCTAAATCTGCTAGTCCATCTAAAACACTCTCTCCACAGGGTGTTAATGCTGCTGTCCAAGGGTTGCTCTATTGCTCCTCCATAGAGTGGAGCCACACTAAGACAGGAAGTGTGTTACTGGGCAGATCACCAGGTGAAAATAAAGGAGTAAAAGTCGGAGGGCCGGTTCACACCACCAAGTCCGCATTCCAGTGCGTTCGGCCTCTGGAACACAAGCCTCTCTGCGTTCAGGGGCGGTGGGAGGCATGGCAGTGCATTGAAGTCAATGGCACCGCAGCCACGTCCCCGCCCACAGTGCGATCGTCCGCATTAGTGCTTGCGTTCCGGTCCAGTGCAATCTGCAAAAATACTGCAAGCACTATTATGAACACTGTGCACTGGCCCTAAAAAAAAAAAGAAGAAAAGGAAGCAGCCACCACATTTAAGAATTGGTGAACTGTAATATAATATTTTCTGTTTGCGGTTAAGATACACTTTATGTAATCTTCATTTCTAAAATGCGCATTTTGACATGTGTGAAAAAAATAGCTCTGGCATCAAAAGGGTTAAAGGCATAGCACACGGAGAAATGTGTATGTATTGCAGTGGTGTAGTGCATGTGTTATGTCTTTGCCTTGACATACAGCTTTGAGGCACATAGATCTTCCATAGTGGGGTGCCTGGAAGTAACTAACTGGCCCCCGGTACCTGTCAGTTCCTTGTCTGCCTCCCACAGGCACACTATGTAAACACCTGTATGGCGGATCAAAATAGCCGGGCGTTCCATTTAAAACCTGAAAATATTTTTTGCTGTCTGCTAAACCTGATAAAAGCAGCTTTGATGTGTTCAGACTGTAATCTCGTCTTCCCCTTTATGTTTATACATAGTGTAAACATCTCAGTCTGCTGACACACACATTCCTGGCACATGTTTAGCTCTGCACATCCTGATTAACAAAGATTCCGTTTTATAGTCCTGATTTCTGCCATTCCATTTCTACACTCTACATTACCAGTCTAGATCAGTGGTGGTCAGCTTACTTGATATAGTGGTGGCCCTGATATTACCAAAGAGCCGCACATAATATTCAATGAATGTAATGTTACAGAAAGCTGTCAGAGATTGCAACATGCAAGGGGAGATTGTTGGAGACTATAGATATCCTACAGGAGATGATCAGAGACTGTAGACATGCTACAGGAGATGGTCATAGATTATGAGCATGCTACATGAGATGGTTAGAGACTGTAGACATTCTACAAGAGATGATCAGAGACTACAAGCATGCAACAAGAAATGGACAGAGAGTGTAGTCATGCTACAGGAGATGATCAGCGACGGTAGACATGCTACAGGAGATGATCAGGGACTGTAGACATGCTACAGGAGATGATCAGGGACTGTAAACATGCTACAAGTGATGATCAGAGACTCCTAATGCTGCATATAAAATTACATTAATTGAGCTTTACCTGATCCTGCTATTTGACTCATTGTTCACATGGTCTTGTATCATCAGCAATAACCAAGTAAAGTAGAACAATGCTAATTAACATTTTGTCTTGGTAGCACCGCAGCCAACAACAACAAAGAAGAGACCACACCAACCTCGGCTTGAAAGAGAAAACACAGAGCTAAACCGAATTGATGAATCTAGCAGAAGAGATGGTAATTATTTTTCCTGATATCATTGTTGTCATTCTTCCTATCACTAAGGCAATGTATTGAACCCGTTATGTATAAAAAAATATACATTTACAGCATGAGGACTGACAAAACATCCTACTGTATAAAATCTTATAAAAAGTGTAGTTCCAAATTGGATAACATCTATTTCATGTTTGTTTTATGTTCCTGTTCACATTGCAGAATGTTAAAATAAAAAATGACTCTTACATTTTTAAGTAATTTTTACTTGCTTAAAAATCCCACCTAGCTTCCCCCTGTAATATTACGGGGAGGGCAGTGGTAAGTTATAATAGACCCCGTCTGTACGATATTATGTAGATTTGAATACTGTCTGTCCCTTTATTTTCAATATTAAACTGCTCAGAGTAGCCTGGAGTCTGCACAAAGGCCTTCACCAAAAAAATATCTAAAAGGTAAGAAATAGTACAAAATTATGTTTGGGCATGCTGTGTGAGAGGGGACACATAACAAACATATAGTAGAGATTTCTCCAATTTGACTGCAAAAGTGGAAATACGCTGCACATTAAGCGCCAGTTCACACAGTTGCGGTGCATTCCAGAGACGAAGGTGCTGGAACGCACAGCAATTGCACACTAAACTCCCCCATTCATTTTGGGGTGGGAGAGTGCAATTGGACGCATGGCAAAACAATGTTCCGGTCCAGTGCAAACGCAAAAAAATAGGGCATGCAGCACCACCCCTCCCGGAACGAAGGGGGGAGTTTAGTGTGCAATTGCTGTGCGTTCTAGTAGCTACCGCTCTGGATCGCACCACAATTGGTGTGAAATGGCCCTAAAACTTGTTACTTTTATCTGCATAGTGTGTGAGACTTGTGATTTGATTAGGTCTGACATTTTAAAGCCATTGTCTCAAAAGTAAGGCAATATATAAAACCATTTTTAAATGAATGCTGCCATACAACTACTGAATAACTAATAGTGGTAAATCAGCCATGGAGGTACGTTGTGGAGTATTAAACTCTGTCATGTTTTATGTTGAATTGGCTTTGGTCATTGCATTGTTGACATATCTGTGTTGGGAACTGGCCTACACCAGGCAAATGTTAATATAAAATGTATTTTCTAGGAATGTGCTTATTGCTTTTTTTGTTTTTTTGTTAAAACCAACCCAGACAGGTTCAGACAGATGAATAGAAATATTTAGTGTTATTTAATGTAAGTGGCTTAATAAGACCTCCTGTTGCTTTTCTGCATTCTACAGAACAAAGAGGAAATGAGACTAAAATCTCTTTAGTTTTATTAATCTATGATTCCCCTATTTATAGCTGTATCCAAGCAGAAAGAATTCGGGCCACACTCACTGGAGTGTTTAACCTTGTTTATGGTCTGGTTCTGCATTGATTATGACATGGGTGTAAAGCTGCTATCTTCACCTCACATGAACTTTAAGTCCTCAAACTTGCCTTTCCATCATGGGATGGGCTTCATGGTATCCTGATCTACACCTTGACTCATTACATGGGTGTGAAGAAAGGTGAAGTTGGCTTGCAGGAAAGGAGTGTAGCCTAGAATTAAACAAATAAATGACAAGATCATGTGTTAGATCAGGCATGTCAAATTCAGATGAAACAGTTGGTAAATTAATGGGATTAAACCTTTACTATCTCTAGGCAAAACAGTTTTTATAGTTTTGGATAGAGCAGGTAAGAGTTAGACCATTTTGCAAGTTTTAATTTACTAGAAGGGGTTTTAACGATTCCCAACGCTATTCAAAATCAGAAAAAAAAGTTTTATGTATACATACACCCCAAAAAAGGTAACAAAAACAGCACTGTGAACACTGAAAATGCACACACACATACATCCTCACTGCACCATTACATTAATACAAAAACTGGCAATCACTTACAAAAGTGGAAATGTCCTTTAAGTGGGCTGCATTATGCCTGCTGAAGTATGCACCTATTTTCTTCAAAATTTACCAATATGGTAAAAATGTCAGCTCACAATATTTAATCCCAGAACAAGATGCCATAAAGCATTTCCTGAAGTATTTTGCATTTATTAAAATTATGTAAGCAAGTGTAACTTATAAACTGTGAAACAGCTGGGAGCTTATTAGCTTTTTTTAATTCTTAAAACACAAAGGGCTGCAGAGAAGGGGCGAGAGGGCCACATGCAGCTTAAAAAAACACCACTTTGAGATATCTGTATTAGACTTTTAAGATGCGGAAAGTAAGCAATTGTTCTACCAAAAGGAATTTGACTATCAAGAGATGTAACTTGGGAGCTGTCCATGGTGAGGAGACTTGGTTTGTAGTGTCCTAAAGTACAAAAAGGAAGCTTTCTGTCCTCTGTGTGTAAACAGAGCCATGTATACATCTTGGGCAATATATAATTCAAGCAGAATGCAAAAAGACTAGGCGCCAGTGTTGACTGTAGACTCCATGTCCTGTTCAGCACTGTGTATCTGTGTGGAGGCAGCTATTTTGGGAGAAATAGACCTTTTGCTTCCTCACATCCGAGCTAACTTTTGATGGCTGGTGATCAAATGACCGATGGAGGAATGTTTAAGAAACAACAGGAGTGACTGAGAAAGCCCAGATCTTCAGAAGTAAGGAGATGCGTGTTCTCGGGTACAGCTTCCTCTTTAGCACAGTAGCGGCTTCACGAAATCTCACTCCAGATTTGGTAGGACTAGCAGTCAGAGGTAGTAGTGTGTCACATACATGGTGATGGTCAATTTGACAAGAGGTCTTCCCTTACACCTACTGTCCAATACCCTCTGGAGATAGTGACATGGTGGACAAAGAGTGACATAAATGTCTGCAGTGGGTTCTAATGCAGTGGATGATCTGAAGACAGTCTGGATATGGCGGAGATGCTGGAGATGTTCAGACTGAGTTGTTCAGACTTCACATCCAATGCGTTGAGGCTGCACTGGGAATTTGTTTCCAGAGCAACCTGGAAGCAAAACAACACAATTTGGCTTGCCATGGGTGGGCTCAGTTCACACCACCGTGTTGTGCTTAAAAAAAGTATGGCATACAGTGCTTTTTTTTTTTTTTTTTTTACAATCACTCTTGTAAAATGTTAATATTGTTCTAACAAAAAAAAGAAACCGTGCATTGCTTCTCAAACAAGTACATCAGCACTGTGCCTGGCACATGCACACCAGCAGCTGGAAGTTGAGTTACCTAATGTCATTCAAAAACCACTGAAATTTTGACCAGACCTGCAACTTGAATGGAATCCCAGACATATTAAACAGGTTTCTTTGGTGTCTATAATATGTGCAAAACAATATTTTTGATTTTTCCTGAATGGAAATTACATTCACAGTCAGAATGTTGTACATTCAGAAATGAAACAAGAAAAATTGTCCATCCTGAGCCTTCCAATTTTCTCGTCCATACGGATGGATGATCTCCTACTGCAGCTTCACAGCTTTGAGGCTTCAAGATGCAGGAAGCGTGCTGCTATATTTCAGGAGAATTTTAAAGGTGGTCATACCTGCGCTCCTCAAGAACCGGACGAAATTCACACAGGGAGTACCGCTGTTGGCACCTTTTTGGCTGGCATCCTTTAATCAGCTGATTGAAGGAGCTGGTCGTAAAATCTTTGTAGGAGCACAGTGGGCAGCCAAAGGCAGAGCCAGTCAAAATACAAAAGAAACAGCAGGGATTCCTCAATCAACTCCTCCACATTTGGTGGCAATGTCTTCTTTTACAATCACTGTAGCCTTAGTATATCATTGCATTTTAAAGACTCTGCACTTGATCCACTGCATGACTTGTTGATTGTAGACTTGGAACACATTTTGAACCAAGTATATAGGATCACAACCAGCTGAATAAGTATCTGCTATGTTTCAAAATAGTCCTCAAAAAGGTATATCATATCTGCGGCATTAAATATCTAATTGGCTTTCTCTTCAATACCACTAGGGCTGTAATTAGCACTCATGGGCCTCTGCCTAGGACAGCAGGGTTGTCCTAGAAAAATGTTCTATATATTTTGGCCACTCCCTGTTCCCACAACATAATTGGTTTGGTGGTAAGCTATACAGATCTGTAAAATCCTACTAGGTCAACACATCATTTCTAATAGATGAGAAGAAATATCCTCCATCAATTTTACTGAATCTACCTAGCAGCACTTTTATTTCTGAACACTCTCTTTCCAGTGGGACATGTGAGCTTACAAGAGAAGAAACTGTAATTGAACTGCTACTATAATGTACATCTGCAATTTTTAACAATACATGGTTTGGAGGAAAATAATAAAACATTACTTTTTGTATACTCTGAACTTTGTTTTGATATGCAGTTCTGCCTTTACAAGGCCTTAGATTCCTTCTTGGTGATGCCATCAAAAACTGGTAGATTTTCTTTTCCAATGACGTTGTTCTTGATTGCTGGGTACTCTGTCTGGGAAAGTCACTGCCAAGATATGTGCACTCTTTAATGCCCATGAAAGATTCATTGAAGCAGGAGCATGACTTACTTGAAAAGAGGTTCCATACATAATCCATGTCACACTTACAGAGTTAAATTGCTGAGAAGTTGGTGCAAGAATACTTGAGTTTTTAGAGTTGAGCTGACTTACTAATCAGCTACAGAATTTATGGAAGGATCTGCTGCTCTCTGTGGATCTGCCGAAACGTATGTTGCTACTGGACACAGTAGGGACTTAGGTGCCAACTGAGCAAACTACGGAATGCAGTGGAGAACCAAGAAATTGACACTCTTGGTTGTGTCAGATTCTGAAAAGTCTTTGGGTGGCAGTTTCTCTACATTGCAATGTCAGTTGATGGCATGGGCAGTAAGAGAGATAAGTATTTAAAATCTTCTTTCCAGGGAAAACTTTTTCTGGCAATCCTTCTTTTTTTTTCAGCAATAGAGTCACTTTAAGGATTAATTTGTTATCCACAAGCCATTTATTTTACACCAGTGAAGGTTAACCCAAATAGGTGGTTTGCAAAAATTGGCAGATCACATAAAATATAAACATAACTTATAAAATATACACTTCACTCTGGTGACTACAATATAGCAACGATTGAGTTGGTGTTAACTACTAATGGACTGGCATTCAGTCAAGTAAACCCCAAGCCAGATCCCCACATGTTTATTTGTTTTGCTGTGCACTCAACTGTGGGGATTGTGTGAGGTCTCGGGGAGCTGCAGGTCTCATGGTGATGTCAGTGAATGGGCTGAGGAAGCACCAATGTCGGAAGCCTATTTAGACTAGAGACCACAAGCAGTGTTGCTGCACGGAGATGAGACATAGAAGTAAGATACCCTGAATATACTGTTACTATGTCATGATTATGTTTAATCGTGTTCAACATAATAATCGTTGACAAAATTTTACCTGACCACGGATTTACTTTAACATGCAATGTTATCCGTATGGAAAATTACCAGCTCTACAAAGAAATTTGCATTTTTAGTTGCAAGTTAATAAATGCTTAGGAATGGTGCTTCAGTGCAAAGATCCTTACCTGGAAAAACTTCAGTCTTGATGTTAATTTCAGGCTTAATGATGCTCCGTGTTGACAGCAGCAATGGAGGTGCTGTTTATTTCTGTTTTGTAACTTTTGCTTTTCTCTAATTCTGACTTAGAAATGGACTCCCATTTTTCCTCATAGTTTCTGCTTGGCTGCCTGTAAATGTTACCTTTGATCTGTTAACAGGATATCATTTCAGGAGTGGCAAAGCGAAGATGCAGAAAATTATCTGGAAAAAAAATGTCAGGATGTCAGCTATTTGGCAAAAACATGCTGGCATAGTGCCAGCTTCACATTTCCTGAGCTGGGTTGTATGGTGAACTCCCACCAGTGTGGAAAGGAATGGGGTGTGTGAGCATTCACAGCTTTGTTTTTTCAGATGATACCGTAGCAGACTGATATGTGTTGAACACAAGCTATATCGGAGTCTCAGTCTCTGGAGGCAGGAACATGGCCTCACAAGTGTCTGATTTTATCTCCGTGTACCCTGCTGGAAACGATCCTGTAGCACAGAGATATTAATTGTGCCTCTGACTTAGTCCCTATTTGAACTTTCAATTGTTATGCTTGAAACCCAATATTTTTAGTCCTCACAAATTAATTTTTTTAAGATTGCTGTGAAAAAAAAAATCAATATTAGCCTTATTTCTGCTAGAAGGGCATATGTTCTTACAGTAGGTATACACGATTGGAGACTGGTTAATAATGTTAATGTTTTTATTGGTATTAAAGGCTGAATCATTGAAACTTTCAATGACCAGGGCATTCGTTCATTGCAAAATGGTTTTTCATTATAGCTTTTGCGTTGTGGACAAACTGCCAACTGACTCTTGCAGCTCTCCATAAGTAGTTTCCAGTACAAGATATTCAATAAAGCACCAAATGTATATTTTCTGAATTCTTCAAAATTGTTTAGAAAGAAAGTTACACTTCTTAAAGAGCGGACCTTAAAACAGTAGGTCCTTAGAGCCATTTAACAGAAAGAAAAACAATTTCTAATTTATTAAGACTTCGCTATTTTAGAAACTTGACCACAACATCTGTAGTGGTCATTTTTACCTGACTTTTAGGGGTTTAAAATACCTCTAGCTGACCCGATCATGGTTTGCCCATTGTGTATACCACCTACATCTCCTAACAGCTGTGATCTGCACGTTTTCCTTAGCAGCGCTTGTTCAGTCTATGACGAGAACCCTAGATTACACAAAGCAAAGCCTTATTCATTAGGTCTACTATATATAGTGGAACAGGCTTATTCACTAGGTCTATCTAGCTTTTTCACTGTGGGAGGGAATGGTTGATTTCATCATAGGTTATTTTTCAATGCATAGTAGCTGAAAAAACAACTTTCTTAGTATTTTTCAAATTTAGGTCATCACAGGGACCTATGCCGCACCATTTTAGTTTAGTATTAACAATGATTCATCCATTTTATTTATGATGATATAATGACTCCAAATGGTCTTCATCCTGGAGCATGTCCAGAACATATGCAGGAATGAATTTATTTCATGTTGACATCTTAGGCAAATTTCAGATTTTGGTGATTTTATGCTATGCATTTTGGCAGGTATTAAGTATGTTCAGTAAAGAAACCTTATTCGACTCCTTTTTTCTCTGCATGGGATTGTAATGCATTTCTTGTGTACAGTTTACCAGTCAGGTTCTGCCAACTCAGATGCATCTAGTTTATTGTTGAAAACTGTGGATAGGCCTGCAGATAGATTGGGTACTGTTTTATGAATTAGGAAGGAGGGCTTGACGTTTATTGGATTTTTGGGAACATCGCGATCACTGTCTACGTGCTTGTGCAGTATAACTGAAGATAAAGAATAATAGATCATATAACTAGAGTAAACTGATTTTATTAAATGGTTCAAATGTAAGAAATTCATCCTGGAAAGACTGTGGCAACATCCTTGACATGGAGTAGCATTTGCAGTTTACAAAGTAAAACACCAGTGTAAAAAGCCTCAGATGGAAGTAGCCATTCCTTGACTTCTGGACTTAATGATAGTTTTTAACTTAATTTCCTTAGAGCTGAAAATCAGAGAATGGTAATAGGCATGTAAGGCCTCACTAAAAAATGTTCATAGATTTTTTTTTTTTATTATTCCTTTAGGGCCGATTCACACCACAAAGTCTGCGTTCCAGAGCGTTCGGCCTCTGGAACACAAGCTGACTGGCTTCCTGCATTCAGGGGCCGTGGTGGTGCATTGAGGTCAAGCACTACCACTAATATGCCTGCGTTCCAGGTGCGGGCGATCGCACTGCTGCCGGTGGGCGTGGCTGCGGTGCTATTGACTTCAATGCCGCCTCCCGCCCCTGAATGCAGGTAGCTGGCCGGCTTGCGTTCCAGAGGCCGAACGCTCTGGAATGCAGACTTTGTGGTGTTAACCGGCCCTATAGGTGAGTACTTCAAGTGAGTGCTTGGGCTCACTAGTTCTTGTTAAACAAAGCACTCTACTGCAGATTGAACACAACTTCTCTGATTGATATTTGGCCTTCTTTCCCCTCCCAGCACCTTCTATTTGCCGCTAAATGCAATACTCAGTCTTGCTAAGCAGTAAGAAGACCTGGAGAGGGGTGGGAAAAATATTGACCATGGACGTCGTGTAATGGTTGCATAACAAAGCACCTTGGTTTTGAAGATACATAAACATGCTAAAGGTGAGTATTGGATGTATATTGTGTATTTGGTATCGAGTACCGATACTTATATTTCGGTACTTGTCGATATCGAGTACTTCCGGTAGCATAGAGCTGTCTTCTCGGGCAATCAGGAAGGCTTCTTGATTGCCCGGGATGCCGACTCCATTCTGCTTAGTTAAAGAATGCTAAGGATCTATGTGAGGGGAATTAGGTGCCTGCAGGGTGGGGGGTCGTGTCGTCATATTATGAGATTTATTTGCCTGGCTTGACACTGATTGGCTTCCCGGCTCCATCTTTACTCGCGGCACTGCCGGTCAGAGGAAAGCTCCCTCTGACCGGAAGTTCCAGTATTGGGAAAGGTATCGGAGCATTTGGACGCATATGAGTACTCGCCCAAATACTCGTTATCGATACCGATACTAGTATCGGTGCATTCCTAATATTTGTGATAAATATTTCTGGTCACTAAAATGTTACTGAGCATGTGCGGGGCCTCATGTAGTACAGTTTGTGCTTCATATTCATGGTTTTATTCATGGATCTTATAATTAATCAAAAGGTAACAGTGAGGTGCAATCATTTATTTTTGGACAAAATTACTCTGTATGCTTTCCCAGCTGCTTGGTTTTTAAGTGCCATATCGCCTGTAAGTAAAGAACATCTTTTGCAAAATATAAGACATCGGCAATGTGCTGGTGTTGTGTTTGTTTAAAGGGTTATTTTACTTAAGTGCAAAAAAATAACCTGGCTTACTCTCTGTGATTACAGACAAATGTGGAAAATGCAGAAAAATCAAAGGATCGCAAAATAAAATAAAGCAATATTGTCAGAAGGACTTTGGTAAGTCAGTGTGATTTTCTTTTCTACCTCTGCCAACAGACGAGCAGATCCCTTTATGGCTAAAGCATTAGTAATGAACATGTTTTTATGTCTGCTTGGAATTTGCAGTGTTCCGAGGAAGAATCGTCAGCAAGAAGATTGTGGGAAAGGAGACACGCTATGATGTGCAGGTGGTTATGACCTATAAGAACAATTTCCCTATTCTGAGAAGGGAATACATCTGGGTTCCAAACACCTGTGATTGTCCCAACCTGCTGGAGAAAACGGAATATATTCTGATGGCCAGGAGGCATGTCAACTACGAACACACTTTAAACCGAATATTGCTAGAGACTCACAGCTTTGTGCGCCTTTATAGACCAAAGGAGGACAAAATGCTCCGAGATATTGACCAAGAATGTGGCAAGTATAGATTCCAAATCAGCTCACAGCAGAACCAATAAGAGACATTATTGCACAGACAGCTAATGAAAGTTGTTCCTTAACTAATTGTATTGTATGTGCTTTTTTAATACAAGCTAGTTAAAATGTTATTGGTCCGCTTGTAAAAGGGGACCTAATGTACAAGTTAATAACTGCTGGTGCTAGAATAAATGGAAAAGGAATGTGCAGCTAATCTGTTTAAAAACAAAGTGAAAGCCTTAAGAGAGCTATATTGCCAAGGAAATGGGAAAGGTTCATTGGTTTACAAGCCAAGTAAACCAAATACAAAATTGTATTTTGTACACATACGTTCACATATTACCTATAAATAAATACATTTTATGTATGTGTGAATGTATATCCAGACACATGAATGACAATGCAGAATTAGGTGACACATAGCTAAGAGCAATTGGAGGCCACGAGTGCAACCAGTGATCTATTTATCCAGGGAAATGTTCAGCCATGCTTAGACACAATATGACCTTGCCCATTCCGGGTAAAGTAAAGGTGTCTGTGTAAAGCGCACTCCCGATCACTTTATACTCCTTCAGTGTTCCTCCACTGCTCCTTCTTCCATCACATCCACCCCAAAAATACTAGGTGTGTTTGTATACTACTAGGGATAGGCCTGCAGACTGCATCAAGAGAGGAGGTCACAGGCTCCCCTATACTTAGATGCATTAAGTATTTTGCAGTGTATAATATCTCTTTATTATTTTCTGTATATAACAATATAAACATCATGTTAAGAGACTCTCCCAGGAAGAAAACCAGTCAAAATCAAAGAACAAAAAAGAAAAATATTCATACCTTCCTTCTAGAACAACCACCATACATTTTCAATTAGTATTAAAACCATTCTCAGCTAGAAAGAAAAAAAGAGAGAAAATAATTTGCAGTGGTAGCCACAGAAAAAGGAGATCCAGGGGAGCACTGAAAAGGTATGAATAAAGTGGTCAGGGTGGGCATTACACAGACACTGTCACTTTGCCCTAAATGGGAAAAGTAACAGTGCCCCTTTACAGTGAATATGAAGTGTGCCTATGATAACCGCAATACTAAAGTGAAGGCACCTTGTGATCTTGAAATCTCTTTATGTAGAGCCCATTGGATTCTAGGCCCAGGCTGTACAGAGTGCCTTATCTTCTTTTCCAGATTTTAAAGATTTAACCTTGCCCTCCTCGTGCTAAGCCATGCTACTCTACTTTTCCACTTAAGGTTTGTCATTTGAGAGTAGAATGATAAGGAATGTCTTGTCATTTGAAAGGGGGAAGCTTTATCGCAGCTTTAACTAAAATGTGTATAGCCATTACCTCCAAACGAAGCCCTCCACATGTATACAGTGGTCCAAGCTTCAGCACTGTTAAGAACTTTTTGACCAGGTCAGGTTGACCTTAAATGAGACAGTCCGCTCACTTCCTTAGTATGAGTTTTACAGCTTCAAAAGGCTCCCTACATGCAAAAAGAGCAGGTCAGCTTCTTGATGCCTGTGCTGTGCCACTTCCAATCTCTCTCTCGAAGTATCACTAGTCGAATAAAAAGTTCTAGGGCAGGTTTTAATGTAATTGGTGGCTATAAGCAACCTCTTAGTACTGATTCTGTGATACACTAGGTTCTTGGTATTTGAGCAATAGCAAGGAGCCCACTGTGTTGAGGAATACCTCTGCTGCAGTTGACATACAGTACTTGTGCAGACCTATAGGAATTCTGTACACCAGGGAATTCACCTATAAGGTCCAGGTACTCTTTGGTGTAGCATCAGGGTTTTTAGGTTGAATAGTGCTTGTATATTTAGTACAGTTCTAATTTTTACTTGGCTATCGCTACCCCCCTACCCCAGCTACTTACTCAGCTCTGTAGTGCTCCTGCCACCTCCTCTGGAGGTTATAGCCTGTCTGAATTCTCTTCAATGCTGGCTGTGCCTGTGCACTAAGTAACTAAGTTACCACTGACTTGATTGGGACTGTAAAGAAAGACTGGAGATCTTTTGAGATTTGTTGCATGGTTTGATTCAAATTGGGACTTGGCCAGCCCTGAAGAAAATGTAATCTCTGAAGATGTAAACAATGGAGTGGGTCACAGCTCTGCAAAAAGGGCTAAGTAAACAACTGAAGTGTGTGCAGTACAGCTTAGGAGGTCTTGGGTCGGTTGGGTTAGACCTCTCATGTAAGGTGTCTTTTGGCCTTCTACAGCCACAGAGGGTTTTTTTGCTATAAACCTGCCAACTTGTACATTTTACCTTTTAAACCAAATGCAGTTTCTAGATGTTGTATTTTTACATGCTATATTAAGATGTATATTAAGCTGTATATTTATATGAGAAAACAGAGAAATGCATCTGCAGTATGCATAATTTATTTTCACATGCTTTGGAAATGAACTTTCACTTATAAACGCAACGCGTAATGTATACATTTGTGAGATTCCCTATATTTATACAAGGTATTATGAATAAAAGGTGTATGTGAGGTTTGGTATGAGTGAGATTGTGTATTTGGGAAATGTTTACAACACATTTATTAAAAAGAATGAACAAAACCAGAACTTGTCTGTCCTGCCAGCTTCCTCCTTTTGATGCACAACACAATATGAAAGATATCTGTCCCCCAAAGTCCACTTATTTTCTACTGATACTTTTCATAAGATGCAACTAACCTGTGCGGCACATCTTGCCTTAGGTGTGGCAATGAAGAGATGCAGGAGAAAGGAATTCAGTGCCAAGACTGAATGGTAGCCAGCTCATGTGCAGTGTCTTTAGATATTGGATGGTTATCTGGTCCCACCAATATCAATGTGGCCTAGAAATGATTGGCATGTTTAGAGGACACCACAGACCTACACATAAGATACTTTTTTGGTTGGAATGGATGGAGTTGGTGACATGGTGGCCTTTTTATCAGAAGCTAGCACATTGTTCCCACCCCCATGATGGTGGTGGGGAGTGATCACATAGTCATTCAGTCTTGTAGAATACATATGTCAATGTGCAGATTGGAGGTCATTTGGCAGTGGGCTGGATTGTGACAACTTGAGTGATATATTGAATGTTTTGGTACCTTGAGTATGGTAACCAAATTCCCTAAATATATTTTAGTGGTTTCAGGGGAAGACAGTCACCTCCTGCTAGTATTTGGGCTAATAAAGGTGAAACCTGGAAAAGTATATTTAAACAAGATCCATAAACTATTTCGGTTATATAGATTTATTTTTTTCATTCCTTAGTCACTTCCCAAGTAGCTACTATTAAACCCAGAATGTGTGTACAATGAAATGAATAGTTTGGTCAGTCTATATTTTAATTTTGATTTGAGTAATGTAACTTTCATTTCTGAATGTGCACATGTATGTGCTCAAGGATTCACCAATGGGACTTCTAACTTGACATACAACTTCTCCAGGCATGTGCACTTTTCATTTTCTCTATTAGTGCCATGAACATACTCACCAGAACAGGGTGCAAATCTAGACAAATTACTGTTGTCCTCCAAATTTCACCAACCTTCTACAGTCATACAACTAGCTGTAGATCTTTGAAGCATATATGAAGCCAAAACCTAATTTGTCTTGTTTTTGATAGCATAGGGAAGGTTTAACACCCCTGTCAGGTTGGTGTTTTTTTTATGCAATGTGTTTCCCATTGTAAAGATTTCCCTTCACTTCCTGCTTAGAATTGCAAGGCAGTGTCTTATGTAGACACATCAGAATGTGAGGGGGATCCCCTCTTAGACAGTTGTCATTGAAATTAGTGTCACTAGTCACTGTAAGATAAAAAAACGTTTTTTCTTTTACTTGCAATCCCAGTAACAATTTTCACCAGGACAAATTAATTGGTGAATTGTGCAAGCAGGGAACAAAGACAGCACAAAAAAAAAAACCAACAGAGGTTCTAAACCTTTTCTAATCTCTCTCAAACAAGAACGTTTAGGGTTTTGATGCACTGAATACAGAATATGAGCTTATTTGCAAACTCCTGAAAAGTAAGGCATTGTCCAGCTATGCAACATCTTTACAAGTTGAGTATAGAATGAAGAGTTTACCTTCACAGGAAACTACAATGTCAAATTCATCAGTGAGAGATGGGCAGCTGAAGTTGTATGCAAATTTCTACTTTACTGTAAATGTCAGTTGTGCCCTCTCACCCTTTAAAGCCTTCATTTTGGGCCTTCATCACCAATAGGAAGCTAAGATTGTACCTAGGGACAGGGCCAAGCTCGGCTTTCACAGAAAAATATTTCAATATAAATCTAGCTGGTTTCTGCATCTGCCAATTATTTTTACAGTGTCAGTCACTATTTTACACCATGATTGGCATCATATCTCACTGCAGACAACTTTCTGTTTCTGGCTCACAATGCTGAGCTGCTGACACAATTGGCAATTAGCAGCAGCGTTGTTCAGGCTGCTATGTGTGCTCATTCAGTTTGTTGCTGGACTTAGAGTTGCCACATTCTCTTCAAGCCAAACTTGAGCACTGTAGCGCCTTGCGGCAATTTTTGTGTAAAGTATACACTACGCATATATTTTGTGATTAAATAACATTGTAGTTAATCACAATGTATCACAAATCATATGAAGTTAATCGCAACTTGCCAGTGTGCCACAAGCCCCCAGATATGCATTCTGTACATAAAAGATGCCCCCATAAGATGCCAGTCTGCCACAGGTCCCAAGATATACATTTGGTACATAAAAGATGCCTCCATAAGATGCCAGTCTGCCACAGGTCCCAAGATATACATTCGGTACATAAAAGATGCCCCCATAAGATGCCAGTCTGCTACAGGTCCCAAGATATACATTCGGTACATAAAAGATGCCTCCATAAGATGCCAGCGTGCCACAGGTCCCCAGGTATGCATTCTGTACATAAAAGATGCCCTCATAAGATGCCAGTGGGCCACATGTCCCCAGATATGTACTATACAAAGCAGTATCCATATACCTTGTTGCACTCCTTACTGGATATCCCAAAAGCAACAGGTGCTCATAATGACTGCGGATGGCGCCGCTCACAACAGAACACCAATACAGATGTCACCAGCACCAAGATTCCATGTTAGTGCAAATCCATTTTATT